GGGGGGGGGGGGAGTGCATGAAGAGAAGCGTCATATGGAGAATGATAAAACAAGGATAAATATGGCGTGTGAGAAGTGAAGCATAAAATGTACCAAAACGTGTGGCAAATTTGCATTAAACATGTGTTCCTCACGATGTGATATCATCAGATAAGCTCCCGAATTAGGCTTATAACTACCTGAAAACAAAGGCTACTATGCGTAACGTTTGCTTCATTTATACGTATAATTTGCGTACTGAATATTTCGACAAGAAGCTAACTTCTAACTTTATTAAAAGCAACTTAGTTAATTTAGCATTTACATAACCTCACAATGTTACGCGCAGAGATCTTAATTAACAACTAACTCTCTCTTATCACAGGATATAAATATCACACAAAATAATACAATTATAAACCATAATGTACAAACTACATTATCAGTTAATAATTCAATCTGAATAAATTATGTTCAATTCTCTGTTTTAACGTATTAATTCTACATCTAAAGCAGCCAATTACAGAACCAGCACAAGATAATGGAACATAGACCACAATACAATGTTTAAAAGTGATGTTAATCATACATGTTAGCAGAGACACACATAATAAATGCTAACGTTCAAGATATGTCATTTACATATATAAGAGTGTGATACTTAAAAATACAAAATAATAAAATTGTGTTCTCAATATTAAAATGTCGTAAAGTCCCTGTATTAATTCTACATGAACAAATTATTATAATGATATAATGTTTTAACATAAGGTGCATTTACGAAAGTTAATATGTAATAGTAATAATAATAATTTCAAGAGAAATTTCTTTCGTGTATTGGATAGGCTTGTTTTATGAGGGATAGTATGTGTGTGAATGGAATGACTAGAGAAACAGCTTTGAAGCGACTTATACAGATCACACAATTATAAAACGTAGAATGGGGCCACACCCCTTACAAACCAATGAATCATTTGCTACTTCCTATGTCGATTCATGCCGGAAACTGCAGCGTAGTGATTTCGGTGCTATTTCAGCGTTCAATGCTCACACCGTCAAAGTCACTACTGAATTTGGTATCAGTTTTTGATTCGTTTGTGCGACAGTAGAATAGCTATAGTAAGTACCAGATTACTTGCGAGTTTCGGCGCGGGGGTGAAGAGCAAGGTCATAATCACTGCGCGCGCACCTCCACGCTTTTTCTACCAGTTCTACCCGGCCGTTCCGTGCACCGACCAGGCCGTGCCGAGTGCAACTATCCACAGCTCTAGTGAGCTCAGCTAGCAAGTAATCTGGTCCCTACTATATTTGTGCGTGACAGGTTTATCCTTAAATC